CCAGCAGAAACAAAGGAGGCATTGGTGCTGGGGTAATATGACAGCTGAAGTTTTGGACATGTCCACAGAACATTCAAGTGAAAATGTCTAGTAGGAGTAGTATAGGAAAGTAGTAGTAATATTTTTCACTTACACTCAATCCTTCTTTTGGTAAGAACTGGATAATAGTTATTTCAAACCACGGTTCAGTCTAATGCAGTTAGGACTAGTTGTGCTATTTATTGAAGCAAGATTCATACGCTTTTAACACAAGACAGCAACAGGAGTTGAAATTCTGCTATGGCAATTACTGAGCTTGAAATGTGCTCCTTCCTAGACTCAAGTCCTTAGTACAATGTTTCTCCCCAAAGAACCATTTGTATCTCAAGTCCTGGGAGTAGTATAATGTCAGAAACCTAAGATTCTGTGATAAGAAGAATGGAAGAAGGAGACCAATATTGATCACTTTGACTGTGAATAGCATGTCTCATGCTGTATAAAAAGGAGAAGTCATTTTAAGTTACTGACACTGACTTTTGAAGATTTTAGTACTTTCTCATTCAGATGTAAAAAATTAAAAAAAAAAACAAAACAAACAAAAAAAACCTTCCCCAGCAATACCGAAGGAATGATATCAAGGTTTCATTAATTCCAAAGCCCACAAACTGTCCATTGAGGGATTATTTCAAAAACAATGGGGTAGTTTCTCTTGCTCAGATAACCTCCTAATTTTTAAAATGTATGCATAAGTCATTTAATATTCATTTTCATATAAAATTTACAAATATAATATCAGAACAAAAAAGATATATTATTAGGTTTTAGACTTTACTCAAATGATTTATGTAAAACAGTATTTATAAAATACTCATTAGTTAAATACCTGATATCTAATGGTAGAAAATAACCATTAGCAATTTGAGGCTACATTTTGAATTAAATATGGTTATGTTTGATACAGCTCACACTGACCTTTTAACTGTCTCATTTTGTGTCTCATGGTGTTTAGATCAGCCAAAATTCTGTCCTTTTTAAGCCAGTTCTGTTTCTCTAATTTTTTTGCTTTCTGTAAAGCTAGAATAATAAAAATACAAGATATTTTATCAACAGTAATTTATCATTCACACCAATAATTTATAAATAACTTTCTGCTCGAACAAATAGATTCAATTAGAAACAAGTAATTAAAAGGTAAGGGTCATTAAAAGAAACCTCATTTGAAAGATGACAGGGCTTAAGGCGTTTCTTTATGGAGTGGAGGGGTAAAAAAAGAACAATGCTGTTTTATTGTATAGATTTACCATATGCAATAGCCATATTTCATTTTCCACTTCCACAAACTATTTGGAGGTGATGAAAGCCTGGCTTGGAACCATTCATTTTTTAAACATCCACCTACTGCCTAAAGGGTGCAATTCTTAAAAATGAAAATGTGCAGACAGGTCGTCCTCAGTGTGAATTAAACTCATTTGTTATTTTCTAATGTATACCATTATTCTCAGTCTTATAGACCAAGGATCTCTTTATCAAGTAAATTAGACATTTTTCCACATAGAATACTCCATTCTAGTATGAAAAAAACAGGCAAATGTGCAAATATGAAAGCATTGCTATCCTTGTGCACATATTAATTGATGAACGTTCTATTCTTTGTATAAACGTGATGTTATTATGTTGATATTATACACATTTAATTCATTTTCTTATGATGGCATAAAATGTATTTCTCTCTTCCTTCACACACTTGCTTGAAAGAAAGTAAAAATGAAACACTCACCATTTGGAAGTAGAAATGGTTCACCACAAGATACCCAGATGGCAATAGGATTTCTGAGGATGAGGGTAAGCAAAGACTCATCTATATCATCCCAACTATCAGATGTCACAGATTTTGGAAATAATCTGTTTTTCACTTTCATTCTTGGGTTTTCTGGTGGAAAAATGACACATTTATCATTGTTCAATAAACAATGAATAAATTTGCTTTCTGAATTTGTTTATTCAAAATATTTTTTTATTCATTAGTGACTTAATTTGAGTTAAACAGGCAATGCCAGAATTGGAGGCTGATGTATAAATTTGGTCAGAAACTTCATATACAACCAAAAAAATTAAACTAATAAGTACCTATGCAACAATCTTACATGTTCTTCACATGTACCCCAAAACCTAAACTGCAATTAAAAAAAAAGAAAGCGAAAAGATTGTAAATATATGTTTTAATTTATTTCTGACACATCATCTTGTTCTAAAAGAAATTTCTCCGAAATGGAAAAAAAACAGATAAGAAAATCAAGTACAGGGAAAAAGGTATATGGGAATAGACTAAAGGCAGGAATAAGGTACCTCAGTGTTCTTATACTTTAAATGAATATTAATATCTCATTCTGCTGTTTCTTTTTTTAAAAGAAAAAACTAACATGCTTAGAAGAAATAGTGTTTGGCCTATTTACTCTGATGACCATCCAATAAATGTTAGATATTATTTTTATTGTTAAACAATAAATACCACCCTGTTTTGACTTGCCAGAGATAAAGCAAAATTTGGGCTCTGTGCTTCCTCATGGCCAAAGCAAAGAGAAAAATATAATTTCCAGTTTCATATGGCCCATATATAGTGAGAAATTTTTTAGAAAATGTACTTTTCCTGGTTCGTAGATCTGAGGAAAATTCATTTAAAGGTCCTCATAAAGAGGTTATTCATGATATAGCTAACAATATCCTACAATAGAAAATTAATATATATTGAGAATTTACTGTATACTTGGTATTCTACTAAGGCCTATACGCACATGGTCTCATGTGATTCTCAAAATGATACTCTGAGACTCTGAGTTAGGCCTTATTATCAGTCCTCTTTTACAAATATGGTAACTGAGCTTTAGTGACATAGCTGGGTGGTGGCAGAGCCAGGATTAGAATCCAGGCCATCTGCCAATGAAGCCTGTGCTCTTAACCACTGCCTGCATACTAAGCAATATGTTGAATTCTGACCAACAGCTGTTTCTTTAAAGTTCCTTAATGCAAACTGATGGCATAACACCAAGCCACAATTCCATAAAGGGGGCAGCCTACTGATGGCCTTGCCTAATTTAAGAATACCCTTTAGAGTATAAGAAGGAAGAGATGGAATCAAAAGAATACTCTTTTGATAGTCCTACATGAATAACATTACTCTAACCAGGCTTTAAATAAGAATTTAAAGAAGAGTGTTTGAAGTTACAATTTTATAAAACCTGAAGTTCAGATATTCTATATGCCAAATAAAGTCAGGAATATGCTTCAGCAATCAGCTATGCATTAAATGTTCACATAAATATTTCTTAAAATTCATTTGAAGACAAAATAAGTAATGTCCTATACACAAACATGGTAAGTAATTTCACTGAATGTTTAGTAAGTATCAACCAGACACTGTTCTAAGTTATATGTGTGTGTGTGTGTGTGTGTGTGTGTGTACATAAATATAAATACATACACACATGCATATATATTCTTATGAGTATACAGTCACACTTATGAGGATGGAATGAATATATTCATGATGACCAGATAAATACAAATATTGAAAATATAGATTTATTTGTGAAATACAGATATATTTGCTCTGGTTTGAATGTATCATCTCCAAAACTATGGTGTTAAAACTTAATGGCCAATGTAATGATATTAAGGGAGACAGAAACTTTAAGATGTGATTAGATCATAAGAGCTCTTTTTCTTGGGAAGGGAATTAAGGCCCTTGTGAAAGAGGCTTCATGCAGTGCTGGGCTCTTTTGCCCTTTCTACTTTCCATTGTGTGAGGACAAAGCATTCTTCCCCTATAGAGAATGTAACCCTCACCGGACAACCAGATCTACCATTGTCTTGGTCTTGGACTTCCCAACCTCCAGAATTGTGAGAAACAAAGTTTTGTTCTTTATAAATTAACCAGTCTGTGGCATTCTGTTACAGCAACACTAATGGACTAAGACAGTGTTATATATATAATGGAGACATATTAAATATATATATATACACACACATATGTATATACACACACACATATATATGTATATGTATATGTGTGCATGTATATATATCCATGAAGTAATTGGCTATTTACAAATAGTAAAATATATAAAGTTTATGTAAAAATTTAAAATAGTAAAATATAGGTAAAAACGTATCCCAGCTTTATAAATAAGAGAATTGGAATATAAGAGTAGTTAAAATGCTTACCCAAAGCCATTGAGCTAGCAAGTGACAAAGCTGGGATATGAATCCAGGTATTCTGGCTCCAAAACCCAAGTTCTTAACTTCTAAATTATGCCTCTCAATACAACCGTGGAAATCTTATACTGAGAAAACTCTACTGAATCACTACTACCAAGACTTGCTTTTATTTAGCAGTGTTGTTTGGGACTCACACAGTCACTACCCTCAAACTGCAAATAGTCTAATAAGACCACACAGCTATAAACAGATCATTATCATGCAATGTGCCCAAAAATGCAATAGATGGACATTGACTAGAGCTTCTGGGACATAGTAAAAAGTGACAGAGGTGACAGAGACAGGGGAGGGGAGTTGAAGGATAGTAGAAGCATAGAGAGGACACCTTCTCTTCTAACAGTAGCAAGAGATTTCCATTGATCCAGCCCCAATTTCTTAAGTGGCCTCCAGTTGGTTTTGGTTCTGAGTAAGAACAAAACATGATTATGTTTCATAAAGCAGATTAACTGTCAAACATATTTTACTAATTCTATGTAATTAATTTATTGTTTCAGTGCCAAAATCAAAATTTGCATGAATTTTAAATTTTTCTTATAATTCTGCAAGGTAAAAACAACATGACAATTTCAGTGACACTCTTGGAGTCACAAAAGTAGCTTCCTATGATTTTGAATTCTGAAAAAAGTGGCTAAATGAAATAATCATGTTTAATATTTTCATGATCAAGCACAAATGGAATCAGCTAAATGCTGTATAATGTAGCCAACCTTCCATACTTTCAACCACTATCTGTTCTTTTCCAACAGAAGTCACATCTTGCTTTTGTTTCTCGGAGTCTCTCTGGAGAAAGGATTCTTCTAGAGCCCATAAAACCAAATCACGCAAGGTAAAGATTTGGGTTCCATCTTTGGTATATACTTTGGAGGCTGCTCTGGAAAGCCCAAGTTGCTCCGTGCATTCTGTAAGAAGCTAGATAACACAGGCAGTAAGAATCTGATAGGCAAAGGTGAAAGAAATGGGAATAATCATTAAGAGTTTGTCATTCTAAAAGTCTGAAGAAAATCATTGAATTTGAGTAAACAGAAAGCTGAATTACTACTGATCTTGATCTTTGATTAGAGTATTTTCGATATTAGACTGTCCTACCAAATATCACAACATAGTTCAATCCAGCTGTAAATTTCCGAGCTCCAAAAATTTAACACGGCAGCTGACATATATTAATACATTTCAGCATCAGAATATTTTCTAAGAGATGTTCAACTTAAAAATTCACTTTCAATTTCGTTGCTTTATGAGGTATATAATTGTTGTAACTTTATACTGATAAACTGCTTTAAAATAAGTAGATAACCTTCAAACCAAGAACTGACAGATATTTTTACCTTCCTTTTACAGATTGAAAAACAGGATGAAAGATTGAAATTTTTGCCCAAAGGAAAGCTAACTGTGGATCTCTGGGTGAATCTTGGAGTCACTAACATCTGTACTTTGCTTAGTCTATTGAACAACAATACCTAATTTTTAAAACATTATTCTCAACCAAAAAGGTGAGGGAATAGATATGGGTGCTTGCAAGGAAGTCTGCAGGGTAACTCCATATCATGTCAATCATCACTTGTAAAATACATTGTTAAAGGCACTGGCCAGAATGAATAGACAAGAATCACTAAGTAGTGCAAAGACAAAGCTGGTTTTGGGCATTCTGGGTTCTCCTCTCTTCCCATGACTATGGGGAGCAGCTTGAAAGGTAGACCATTTAGTTCCTCCTAACACAACCCCTGATTCCCCAATTTGAAAATGAAATGAAACATCCTATCAACAAATAAATGCCCAGATGTTCCAGATGATGAATGCAATGTGCCCAGAAATTCAATACATGGCATCTCTTGGATGATTCAGATGACATGCAACTTGAAGCTGGCATGAGAAACAAGAAAGAAACAGGCATTCAGTCCATCACAAGAAGGAAGAAAATCTAGCACCTTTGTTTTCCTCTCCCTTGTAGATATCTACTCAGGAGCCAATCAAAAACTGTAATGTCATTTCTAATTTTTCTAAGTCTGTATCCACAGATATACAATCAAATAAATGTCATTAAGTGAACAGAGATCTTGATCTCATCAGCTTAAATTGGTGAATCTGGCCAGGGATATTTATCACTCAATCTCACTGCTTTTTCTTCTCAGAAGAATTGCCATTATCATTACCTCTGAAGATGCAAGCAGCATTTAAGTGATAGCCACTTACCATGGGAAATGTTCCAGCCACAATTAACTTCCCACTATGATATTCATCCCCATTTTTGTATGCAATTATTTTCACTGCCTTCTGGCGCATGGCTGCTATGCCACTGTGAGATGCAGCTTGTGTGCAGGTCTTCATCCGTAAAGACAATAGACGTGCTTGGTAATAACTTAGAGTTTTTTCAGCCTCGTCACACGATAAATCAACCTAATTTATTTTTTAAAATAAATTGAACATTTACTCAAACTTTCTTGTTTTAGTTTGCTATACTTCAGTCTCTTAATTTAATAAATGTGTGTATACATGTGTGATGTCTAAATTTTGCAATGCTCTCTTCATGTGTCACAGATATTGAATACTAGAGTTGGAAGGATATTGGATCCAAATTCCTCAGTTCCCTCTCAGACCTGTCACTGAGTCACTAGGTGATTCTGGGCATCTGGCTTTTGTTTCTGGCATTGTCTTGTTTTTGTTTGTTTGTTTGTGTTTTGCTTTCTCTCTGCCATGGCCAGAGAGAGCTTGAATTAAATTAATAATACACTAACATTATAGACAGCCTCTAAATTTTTAATTTTAGAATGATTCCACCATATGGTGGAAGACGTTTATGAATGAGGAGGGGAATGTGTGTAGCTTTAGCCAGTTGGTAGTAAGGGTGGTGAACACTCTTCCCCTTTTCATCACAACCTAGGACTCTGCCCTGAGGTCAAAGCTCTGTCTGAAATTCTGTAGCATTGGGGATTTTTTCCTACCAGCTCCTCACCACCTCTTTAACATTATCCCACTATCTTCAAAGCAAATCAGACGCCTTCAGGTTTCCCAGAGGACTGACTTCCTTTCTCCTTCAGAGCTATTGCTTCTGCTGATATTTTTTGTAACCCCAATGTGTATCAGGATTCGGAAAGGGAGGGGGGTGATCTGGAGATGGGATGAGCAAGCCCTGAACAGCACACCAGGCTGGAAGATATTCCACCTTTTAGGAATCACTCCTTTTTTTTTTTCAGGTGTGGAAGTTCCCTTAGTTATTTTTATTTGTAAAGTTGAAAGGGAGGGTTTTTGTTTTTTTTAATGGTAACACTTTAAGGTTACAGGAAAGTGGTAGAGGTTTTTTTTTTCCCCTCCATGAGCTCTAAACACTATTAGACATGGATGTGTGAATTCAGGCACCCAACCTGAACAGTCATTAACAACAACACATCCAATTCCCCCTGAAAGGTTCCATACTAGTAAAAAAGAAGTTTTTTCCTGTAGATATAGGCAAAAAGCTATTCCACGAAGTAAAGATTTGCAGTGACTTCCTCACCTAAAAGCAACACTGAGAACAGTGAAATGTGTCAGTAAATGATTAAAGCTGCAGAAGTGCCCAATTAACTTCAAAGAGTGTATTGAACTATTAATAGACAATGCATTTTAAATTACAATGAGGAAGAGGAAATCAATGCAGGTAGAATGGTAAAGGTGCATCTGAGGAAGATGAATTGGATACGTGGAAATGAACTTGAGTGCAAGGCAGATAATGAATGCATCAAAGTTTCCAAATTGTTGCCATACGTGCATTAGTAGAGCTCAGATCATTACATACCTCAGCCACATTGATGACCTTGAACGGCCCTTGTAAGGAGGGCTTTTGGGTCTTGGAGCCTGAAACACAGAGGAATGTAACCCCTGGAAGCAATTGTTTCAGTCCCTTCTCTGTTCTCATGGATTGTCCACAAGCCAAGCAGAGCATAGTTTTTCTCTTTCCATCGGGTGAGAGATAACAGTATCCCTAAAATGGGAGACAGAGATACCTTTATATAGGGCATCTAAATTGTTATAGCATTGCTGTAGAACATTTTTCAAAATAAATATAGCACTTTTAACATCCCAAAATGCTAAATTTAAAATCCCAACAGAGGCATTATTTTGTTCCCATATATATGTGTGTATGTGTGTGTGTGTGTGTGTGTGTGTGTGTATATATATATATATACACACACACACAAATATATGCATGTATGTATGTATGTATGTATGTATTTTTTAAAGTATTTTCAAATTCTGTAATGACAATTCAAACCAATCAATATAAACTGTGTGCAAAATCAGTTTCTTGGAGGAATGGCCAGCTCCAGATTTGGGGCAAGAAATATACAAGATAAGCAAGGGATATCTTGTGCCCTGAAAGAAAAGAAGCCATCATCATGTTCAAAAGACATAGGAGCCAGGAGCCTCTACTGCCCCAAAATGGGATAATTATGGAGCAACAAAAAGAGTGATAACTAAAACACTTTGAAAATATTTATAAAATCCTATGAGTGTATAATGATACTAACAATATAAGTAAAAACAAATAAAATCCAAGTAAATAAAAACAAAACTATTTCCAATCAGGAAGTAGAATCTCTTTCTCCTTTACTTCTTTCCTTGAATCTGGGAAGGGCCATGAGACTTGATTTAGCCAACATAGCACTAGCAAATGTGATGCAAGCAGATGCATAAGAAGTGCTTTCACAATGGAGCTTGTTCTTTTTTGGCTGCCATTGAAACCCTGAGACTGCAATGTGAACCGACTTGAGGTAACCTGCTGGAGAAGACATGTAGTCGAAGAACCAATGTTCCCAGCTAACAGCCTGCCAATCACCAGACAGCTGAGGGATGCCATCTTTGACCATCCAGTCCTCATAAAAACACCCAACTACTAAAGAACCACCAGATGACTGTAGCCACATGAGTGGCCTGGGACAAGACCAGCAGAACTACCCAGCTGACTGCAGCTCAAATTGCTGGCCCACAAAGCAAAAAATGAGTTTTTTGTTTAAGCCACTAAATTTTCAGGGGTTTTGTTACACTGAGATAGGTAAGTGAAATCAATAGAAAGACTTAGGCATTCATCCTACATTCCCTTACAAACCATATTTTTGAGTAGTCAAATATTGAATTAATGAGGTAAAGTTCTTCCTTCTATTAAAAGTTTAGTTGATCAATGTAGGAAAATATGGTAGAATTAGACAAGATTGACCCTTTTGAAACAAGAGGGCAATGTTAAATGAAGTGTCATTGGGGAATTGTTAAACATGAAATCAGGTTGTAAACACCTGAACCTACTCAAAACATCAGGACTAAAAATGGAAAACCCACACATTGCTTGTGTGAGTGATAAATAGGAAACATGTAGGAAAGCCTATGAAGATTCTGGCCAAAAAAAAGTTAAACATGAATCTAATTACAACGATAGGACTCAATTCCATTTACAGAAATTATGGGCGTGGGGAAACAAGTCAAAAGATGCCATAAAGAAGAAAGTAAACAAATTCAATTAAGGGGCATTCAATATGACAATGGAGCCAGACTATGCAGCTGAGTGTCATATGGAGACCTTATTTGAATCTTGACACCAACCAACAAACCATAAGAAAAATTTAGGGCAACCTGGGAAATTTGATTAAGGACAGGGTATTAGATGGCCAAAGAATTCTTGTTAATCTTATTAGCTGTGATAATGGCATGGGGATTGTGCCAAAAAATGTCCAAAATTTTTGGAAGTATGTGTCTAATATGGAGGTTAAATAATATAATGTCTGGGGTTGGCAAACATGGAAAAACCTAGATAATAATTATGAATGATGGTAAATGAAGACTTATTGTTCTAGTCTCTCTACTTTGGAATATATATGAAAATTTTCATATTAAAAATTTTAAGAATATTAGATTAATATAAACTATATTTTTTTTCCACAATTTTCCTTCATTCTTTCCTACCAGAATCAGAGTCTGAGTGATTTCACTCAAAAATCAGCATTCAACTTACATGAACACAAAGTTTTCTAGGGAAAAAAAAAATTCATTTTATTAAATTACTCTTTTACCCTATTTTTATCTTTGAGAGGAAGGGACCACTTACTGGTTGATCAATGTTTTCTTCTTTAATTATAGATGATGTACAAACACCAGCATAATTTGCTGATGTGATTTCCTTATCCAAGGCAGTGCTATGAAAGGCCCCAAGTGCTTTTATGTTTTTCATGTAATGCCACTTTTGATTGGCAGCTCCATTGTTGTATGGTTTGTATTTCTGAAAAAAGAGGCAAAATATGGAGTCAAGTGAGTTCATGAGAGGGTTATAGTATCTTGTTTTTCATTGCATAAATCCAGAAAGTACAGCTAATTATTCATAATCACACCATGCAGTGACGACTACTACTCTTGAAATTTTAGTGATTAGATAAGAAATCTTCTTTGTATTTATAAATATGCATTCTTTGATTTACAAAAATAGAACAATAAAATGCATACAATTTGGTAACTGCAGGTCTTTTTCTTAACAATATTCCCTGAACCTTTTTCTAACATCTTGTAAAAATACATACCGTTTCATTTTAGGAATATTTTACTAATCTTCAATAGTTAAACATATAGGCTCTTTCTCAAACTTTATTTAAAATAAACAAATAGTGTAAATAAATATTTGGGTAAATCCATGATAATTTTTTAGGACAAATTTCTAGAAGTAGAGTTGCTGATAAAAAAAATCATTTTAAAGATTATGATATATCAAAATGCTTTCTAGAGAGATTATTTTGCCTTGCACTTCTACCAATAGTAAACTAAATGACCCATTTTCTTACATTCTTGAAAAAAAATGGGCAATACTTCCAAAACACAAATATAATAAATTAAAAAATAGTACCTTGCTGATATTTTAATTTACATTTCACTGATTATCAAAGAGGTTTATCTTTTAAGTACATTCAGTTAATTACATAATAAAACAATATATTTATTCTAATTATGATAGTTGGCTCAAGTACAAATAAAGAAATAGTTTCACTTTAACAGAACTTAAACCCATAGATTAGTTCTAACTAAATATATCATAACACCTCAAGCAACTTTTATAATTAATAACATCTACTTTACCAAGTGAAAGCTTAATAGAAAAGAAGAAAATAAATGAGTCCCAAGAATTGATTTAATGGGTCAGACAATAAAACCTCCCTCAGAGGTCTGGAAAACCAAAGACTGTATTTTCAAGGGACAGAAAAGGGTCTAGTAGCATTAACCCACCATGCTTCATTTTTATTATTTTACATGAACTTTAATATTTTCTCACAAACCAGTTGTTTCAATAAATACAACACCAGCAACAAAAAATTCCTGAAAGGTTGAAATTACCTTGGGGTCAAATCATTTCTTATGAAATGGTAACCCTGGGAGAAATCATCCATATCTATAATTTCATGAAAACTATTAAGGTACTAAAATTTTATGTGTGTGAGGTTGTGTCTCACTGTGGTCTGTACTGGAGAGGCACCTGACAGAGAAGAACATAATGTTGTA